ATGAGTAGCCGAGTCCGATAACGCTCTTGCTAATCGCAGTACTGTATCAAAATCTTTCACAGCATTAAGCCATCTCCGAAATTCAGAGTAAAAGTCCGTTAATAAATGACAATCTCTACGGCCTATTACGGCTAATCCTTTAAATATCGCAGTCCACAATTCTCTTAACTGCTTATTATATTCTGTCACATTCAGATGAGGTAAAAAACGCAGTAATAATGTCTGTAACATACAAATATATACATATATGCATAGGTATGTGTATGTGTGTATACACATACAAATACTGTAATATATTTATTACAACATTGCAGCAACTATCACATATATTTATATGTATATCAATTTACCTTTCCTTTTCGAATACTTAGCATACTAGCTAATTTATCATCTTGTATTAATTGCTGTAAACATGACAATGTCATGCAAATTAATTCTGGTTCGGTTTTGGTTGTATTTGTCTCAGCTTCTCCTTCCTGCTGCTGTTGTGGCTCAGGAATTGAAGCAAGAGGATTGCTTATATCCTCGAGTTTGAATAGCAGTGTATACAGCTAAAGAATAATTTTTTTTTTTAATACAGAATGTAAAATATTTTTTATTTTATCACAGTTAAAAGTTTGGTACCCTTTCGATTTCAAGGAGTAATTGGCGTGTTTTTTTAGTATCCTTTTGTTGTGATTGAGGATTAGACTGAGAATCGTTATTTGACACGACATCCATATCAATAAGTTTTCGCGGTGCCGTTACACTACTGCAATGTAGTTTGCCTAATGAATTCTCAAATTGAGCCGGTGTGTATGCTGATCTTGAAGGAGCTTGAGATATTGGCTCCCAATCTCTATGAAAATAGAAAGACTATTGTAATTAAATATAAATTCAGGATGAAAATAAGTTAATAAAAACTAGATGCAGAAATTAGGCGCACTTGTTATAGAAGTAGTTAATAACAAGCTTGTTGAGCTTAATTTCTGCAGCTGGCTCTTATCAGTGTGTGTAACTCTGTTTCTATCCTAAATTTGTATTTATATATCAGAACCTTTCCAATTTATTATAATTATAATTAACATGTAGATTGTTTAGATCAAAATACATTTTGCAATGATACTATCATAAAAATATGTAAAAACAAATCTAAATAATATGAATGACATATGGAAAATCTATATAAAAATATAAGCTATGTGCTATATTTTTATATCTCATAATATCTCATAATATAATTCTACAAAGAAAAAAGAAAAACACATACCTATGATCCCTATGATATCCATTATTATGGTGTTTTTTATCCTTTTGTTCTTGATTTGCATGTCGTTTATTCCGTTTATCACAGAATACAATATAATAGTGATCATCAACATATGGTTGAATTGTATTAAGTTGTAACAATTGTATATTGATTAACCATTGCTTCTCATGAGGTTTTATAGCAAGTTTTCCTGCGTGTTCATACTCTCCCGAAGCATTACCGTTCATGCCATGAGAATAATGTTGATGATAGTGTCTCTGATTAGGTCTGTCATGATTGCGATGAGGATATTGATTGTTCTTAAAAAATGGTTGATGTCCAGCTTGTTGGTCGTTATGATAGTAAGATCTGTTTTGGTTTCTCTGATTTCCTGAATGCGAATAAGAATGTTGGTGTTGTTGATGATTAGCTTGGTTATTAGGAAATGCAGGCATCATGTGATCTGGCCGAAGAAATTGTGGGCCTCCTAAATTAGGATGTGGTGGTTGCTGCAATGAAATTATTTACAAAATATTTTAATGCAACAATAATTTAATTGCAATAATGTATTTGCATATTTATTGAAAAAGAGAAACTTACGGGAAAATTATAGGAGCCATGAAGGGCTTGCCTTGGTACTGGTTGTGATAGCATTAAATGCGGTGGTAGAGGATATCGTAACATATTGCCTGGTTGATCTAGTAAATAAAAGTATTATTATCAATAAATTTTCCAACATTAGTACTTTCTAATAAATATTTCATTGCATTCATTTCATCACAACTATTTATCATTCTTTATTTTATGTGTGTGCATTTGTGTAAAATATTATAAAATATTATAAAGTAATATTTTATACTGATACAAACAATTATATAGCAAATTAAAGCAGATATATAGAGATAATAGAAATATGTAAAATATACGTCTTTTAATACCAGAATAATATAATTTAGAAATTAATTCAAACAAATTATAAAGCTATATAATTAAATATGATTGAAGATACCTAATTTCAAAAATTTTCTAACTAAATATTTATTTGACTCATATTTTATACAAATATAATAATATGCACACACATATATGTATATATTAATATGTACTATAGCATTATATAGGTATATACTAAAGAATGGTAAATATTATACTTACTAATTAAGCCTAATAGTCTAGGAGGTTGTATCAACTGAGGATGCGGTACTCTTATGTTGGGCATAACTAGAGGATGGGCCCCAGGTAAGCCTAACCCCGGTGGGAAACGTGCCGGAGGTAGGCCATTGACCTGAAATTTCTCATTTAATGATAGGGCCTCAAAGAGAAGTGATCCTTCGGACTTCCTCTGCTGTTGTTGCGCTTGTGGTTTACTGAGACCTGGAGGTGGCTTATTTGCAACAAGCCCCCTTTCCAGTTCTTCCACAGTACATGCATTTTTCAGAGTTGGCAAAGATAACCGTGGTTGAACCTTAGGAGGGGATAGATTCAAAGGGCTACCCCATACACCAGGTCGTGGAACTATTCCTTCTTTATCCAATACCAAATGTGACAAATTATCCTCGATATCTATATTAGAAATATTCTGTAAAGAAATGTAGAAGACATATAAGATATATGAAATTGTCTATTTGTTTAAAGCTACAGATTGTATATAACAATATACAATATACTTTGGATATGCTATAAAGTTGTTTGTTGATGACATTGTAGAATTAAATCTAATCTGTGGTCATTAGGCTCTTCCATAATTCTCAAAATTTTGTGTATTATAATATAGTGAAGAACTATATATCTTGAATGCTGCAACATACCTTTTTGTTTGTTGCATTCTGATTATGTGGGCGATTTGATTCTGTAATTTCGGCAAGCTTCTCATGATCTTCCTCCCCATCACCGATAGTTTGCGTCAGGACCAAATGTTTTCGTCATTCAAGGCGTCATACTCCTCTTCTTCGAGCTCCTCTTCCTCCAATGGACAATCCAGTCCATCCTCTAAATTGTTATCCTGATAATACCGAATAAACAATAATTGTTAACAGAGAAAACACAAACTTATCTCTACCTCAATTTTATTTATATAAGAAACTAAATCGTGAAAAATATCTTTGATAAGAAAACTGTAAGTGGGTAAAAGCTACATCTGGAAACGATGTTTCCTACATAATGCGAAATGTTTAGGCAAATTGTACTCGATTAATTAAAGCGCAACGCGTACGTTCATTCAGCAGTTTCGATTGAGAATTGGCGTGCTCGATGTTAATGACCTTTAGGGCAAGGGAAATAGAAATGAGGTTAACCCGAGGTAACCCCGCTTGGTCACTTGCGTGATAATTTCATTATTTTCGGGGAAAAAGAACGTAGACGAGAGCCAACAACCGCATCGCCTCGAACAACGTCGCCGGATAAGACGACGGATCTTCGTGGATCGAAAACTTTAATCTTTCGCGAGAGGTACAGATATGCCGCGACGCGACTGTTTATCGGGAAAGGGATTCACGCTCGCGTACCTCGTTGGAACCCGGAATGTCGTCACAGCGGACGCGAATCGCATCCGCGGGATCACAAGGGTCATACTTACTCCGAGCGTGGTATCGAAACCGAAAAACGAGTCTGCCATTTGTGAAAATGAAATCTGCAAAATGACATGTTCTGATTAAACGTCAAGTGCTACGACGAGCATCAGCTGCCATGGCGGCCATGCCGTAACTCCTGGTGGCGGCTAACGTCAGTCACGGCTTAAGGCGGGTATACATGAACGAATCGAATCATCGGACGTCGTGGTTGTTCGGGAAAGGTGTGTATGTGTAATTCGCCTTAAGTGCATTTAATTCGCATTCGCGAACAGATTCGATAGTGAAAGGTATCTCGTGAACTGCGAACTGTCATATACCACGTGTTCGCTACTGGTCCGCACGTGGTCCTTATCTGTCACTTAATTGTCATATGCACGCGGTGTTAATATCTTCATATTGTCAACAATCTCGTTTAGCACCGCTTTTGTTTTATTTTCAATTATAATATTTATCCTTCTTCAACGTTATAAATTTATATTTTTTTAGATTTATATAGTAAAACCAGTATTTTGCAATAACAAATATTTTTTTTTTTAAATAAAATAAATGATTATATGTAACATTCTCGATACATGTAGACAGAAAGAAATATGTATTACATATTTCAACGATATATTATTACTCTTGATTATATATATAAATGATTTTCAGAAAGTGCAACTAAAAGATTTTGAAGATATAATCGCAGAAAACCGCGTCTTATATATAATAGTTAGGATTTTTTATTAAAAAATATATCAATATATATATATATATATATATATATATATATATATATATATAATTAATCAATTATATATATTAAATAATCTGTACGATGATTTAATTTCTATATCTATTTGTTTAGAGAAACACGCGAAAACTTTTATTTTTATGTATAATAACATTTCACATATATATAATAATAACAAATAACTATATAACGCAATAATTAATAACAAAAACTAAATAAAATACATAAGACATCATAAGAAATCTTCATAATTTATATCCAAAAGATATCTTAATTAAAATAACATCTTATTAAAGATGCCAATTTCGAACATGATGTTGTCTAGGTAAAAACAAATAATAATTCATCGTCTTATAGAATGATAAGAAATCGGTAAAATAATGTCGATTCCAATTTTTTCAATTATATTATTTTATGCATGAGATTTGCTCTGGAAAAGGGAGGAAAATATATAATATATTCGACAATGTAGATCGAGGCGTGCACTTTTTTATTGCCATTAAATCTTTTTGCATCGTACTACTTTCCGTTGACTTTTTTTTACCATCCGAATTATGATCCTTAAAATTATCTCTAATCGCATGCGGATACCAACGCGTTAAAATAAACGAGAAATCCCACTGTGTGTTATTTTAAACGCTACTCGTCGCGTGACAGTCCTCAAGTGTTGCTAGGCTGCTGGCCCTCAACGACGCCAGGCTCAAGGAACTATGATTTAACGTATTCATGCCGTGTGGATCCTCGCAATGCAGGTACAGCCGTGAACTGACAGATTTGTGGCAGTCGGGACATAAACGTTTCTTCTTCTTGTCGCGTCTCTTCAAAATATCGTACGCGCATCTGCAAACGTTTTACGCCGAAAAATAAGGAGAAATATTATTCGAAAAAAATTTTTTCAAGCGTTTTAATTTCATTTACTGTTCTGAAAAAATAAAAAAATAATTTTCGAGATCTCCGAAGTATCCTACCGAGCGTGTAATATGTGAGAGCAGGGTAATGCCTCCAGGGAATCAGCTTCCAGGCCAAAAGGCTCGTTACAGCTTCCACATCGCAACTCCAGATCTTCCTCCATCGCGATAGCTAATCTCTCGTGGTGTCCTTTTTGTTCTTCATCTCCCAAAGATCCGTAAATCCGCGATAGTCTGGACCTGACTGTCCGCACCAAGAGCTATAAACAATTAGATCCTTAATTATATTGTCTCCGTAATTTGATTTTAAATGTATATATCTTATACGGATTATCGCGGGTAAAGTGATATTAGAAAAGAAGAGATAGCTTATACATTATAATATAACATAATTTAATAATTGTGATATAATATAATAATTTAATATAATATGTAATATTTAATATATATAATAATATTATTACAATATTATATCATATTACAATTATAATATAACAGTATATTATATTAATTATTTCTTTTCTTTTTATCTTTCTCTCTCTCTCTTTTTTTAGGCAAATAACATTAAAATTTTTTAAAATATCATCGCGATTTAATATTTATTCAAAAGAAGCACGACAAACTGATGATAGATAGTATATCAAAGATTACACAATTTCCACAATTTGTTACTAGACGTTATACTTTATCTATTTTTTTATTCGATTAAAATAATCGGGTGACGAGTTGATACCAGATAGATGTGCATGTTACGTTAGAGATCCAAGTCAATTCTTAAAATAAAAAAACTCAGCTTTGTTCATTTGACAGTACGTTCCAATTCTCGCGACATACTCAACGAGCGAAGAACTTTTTCGCGTTTACTTCAAGTTTCGTTGCGATCTCTCGGAGACCGGAGAGAAAAGAAAAAGAGAAATTTCCAAGTCTGACGGAAGAATGGAAATTGATTTCACAGTACATCGCGCTTTTCCGGGGCTCATTCTCCCTTTCTCGTCTCTCCCGTCACTCCACTCACACACTCTCTCTCTCTCTTGTTTTTTTCTCTGAAACACGGGCAGCGAATCTGTATTGGCAGGTTTACCTTAGCGCCAACTGATCCTGCCACTTCCAGGAGTCTGGTATTGAACTCGAGGGGCCGGCAGTTGCATATCTTGTGCTGCAGCCTGAGAGCCTCCAGGCATCTCGCTGCACCGTCCATCGCCTCCATCTGGCACAACCGATCTCCGGTTGCCGCGGCCGAGCCCATCGCGCTCTCGTACTGCCGAAAGGCTTTCTGCAATATGTCCATCTTTATCTCACCGATGTTATCGTTCTAACGTGACGTACGGGCCGGCGTGCGCGATGCATGAACTAAAGGCTAATTGTGTGTGCATCGCGCGATCGCCAACTAAAGACTAAAAGATTTTAAGTTCGACAAGCGTATTCCTTTACTCTATCGCGCCTGCTGAAGCGCAGTAACACGTGCATCCGTGCAGCTAGCAAATGAGGATGTTATATAATATGTATCACAGAGAAAATTTTCTCTTAGAATTTACCCTGAAAATCATGGTAATCGTGGGACAATATATATAAAAGGCACTGGAAGAATTTTATAAGAGTTTCTCTGATTAATATTTACCACAATAAAAATATTAATATCTATATTACAATAAGATATACTCGATTAATTTTACTGTGTACATAGTGTAAAATTTACTATGTACATATTAATATTTTTTATTGTGGTAAATATTAATCAGAGAAACTCTTGTAAAATTCTTCCAACATCTTATTATCCCACGATTATACCATGATTTTCAGGGTAAATTCTAAGAGAAAATTGTATATACGCATACGCAAACGGGTCGTCTGCTCTATTTCGAAATATCTTTGACATGCGATACAATATCATTTTGTCATCTACGCAAATATGTGCCGGAGCAAATATAAATTTAATATCTATGTATATATATATGACGTGCATACATATGTAAACACGATAATGTATAATTTCATAAATTATTAGATTGATTACAAACATTTCGCTTTTATTGAAATTTGCTATATATTCTTAGTTTAAATTTAATTAAAATTTACAGTCCCAAATGTGTCTGTGGTAAAAGATTATATAACCTTCATGTAGTTATTTATTATCTATTATTGATTTTATTTTTGTTTATAAAAACATATTTTTTACCTTGTTTAATATATAAATTTCTAAATATAGTTAAATTCTAATAAACGCGAAACTATAAATTGAATATTTTTATCGTTAACAATTTGCGTAAATGAGAAAATATATTTGAATTGAAAACTGATGAAAGTTATGAAGTGATATTATATATATATATATATATATATATATATATATATATATATTCTTATTTTTAAAAACACATTTTAAAATTTAATAAAGGAATTATCACTTTTCTCAAAATTTTGCTTCCATTTTAAAATAAATGGACAGATTTTATAAATAACTTTTGCTCACTTTTTAACAGAATTTGTAAAGGGTTTCGTAGCGAAATAAAATGAAAGCGGCATGCGTTCCAAGCGTGACACGACGTTAAAATCGCTTTTGTAACATGCGTGACATGCAAAGGAACGCTTCAGTTATCACGTTTTTTTTTTCATCGCCGATGACAATACCCGTACGTAACAATGTTAGAAGATACAATAAGGCTGTGAATGGTTTTGATAGTATCGGTATTTAATATATAATGCTTGCCGCGAACGTTGATAAAAAAAGATTTATCTCTACAAACGGCACAATATGCAAGTAAATATATTAGCTTTATTTCCAATTATACGATTCATATGCGGTTTTAAGTCTTTATATGAATATATCAAAGAAAAAAAAGAGAAAAAGGGAGAGAAAGTTTTTCTCGCCATCAAACGTCACCATCAATCGCGCTTTTAGAATAAATTTATATGAGAATTGCATTGAATTTTATATACACCTCAAAATTCTATTTTAACGTGCGATAATTAATAGGTAATGGTATAAAAATATGAAAGATTATAGAAAAAAAAATTATATAGAAGCTAAGCAAGAGGCGCAAGACAATTCAACCTATTCGTGGATATATAATTACTTACATTTATATCAGATTTCTTTCTATAAATGTCTCCCATAATACGGATGCTTCGGGCGTAACTGGCTTGATCGCCAGAAACTAATGACAACCGCGTAGCTTCCTGTGCACAACATGATAAATAATAATTTATACACTCTGTTAGATCATAATACTGTAGTACTTCGATTAATCATTGCAACTTTCTTCGATGAAATGTCTGATAAATTCTATTTTTATTTTTTACGCAATTACGAGCATTTTTCTCGGAAATATTCGAAGGGATGCTTGACAAAGTGGAAATAAAGTCGCTTAATTAAGAAGAAAAAAATCGCGAGAAATTAAAGATGTACGTTCGAGGAAAGATTGGCAATATCTTTAAAAGAAAAAAAGCAAATAATAATTTATATACTCTGTTAAATCTTAATATTGTGGTATCTCGATTAATTGCAACTTTCTTCGATGAAATGTCTTTGATACATTTTATTTTTACTTTTTACGCAATTACGAGCATTTTGCTCGGAAATAATCGAAGGGATGTTCGACGAAGCGGAAATAAAGTCGCGTAATTAAGAAGGAAAAATCGCGAAAGATTAAAGATGAACGTACGAGAAAACATTGGCAATATCTTTAAAAAGAAAAAATCTTCCCATATGCACAAAGTGATAAATAATAATTTATATACTCTGTTAAATCTTAATATTGTGATGTCTTGATTAGTCATTGCAATTTTCTTCGATGAAACATCTTTGATATTTTTATTTCTTACACAATTACGAGAAGTTTTCTTGGAAATATTCGAAGGGATGTTTGACGAAGTGGAAATAAAGTCGCGTAATTAAGAAGGAAAAAATCGCGAGAGATTAAAATGTACGTTCGAGGAAAGATTGGCAGTATCTTTAAAAGGAAAAAAAAATGTCACGGGAAGACATTTCGCTTTACTTAAATCTCGCTTTGACCAAAGCGACCAACTTTTTTCCCGCCTTTACATATATCTCTCTCAACTGAAACTTTACCGAGCAGTAATCGTGAGCGTCGCCTAATTCTCCCTTTTTTCGAAGCGCCGCGGCCATTTGTAATAACGCCGCTCGGTGATGACGCGAATTCAGATCTCCCAGTTGTAAACTTCTCGAGAGATCGTAAGCTCTCGCGGCGTATCTCGCACTCTTGTCCGCATCCTGTAATCTGCAGAAGAGTTCCGACAGGCCGACATACACCTGAAAATGAAACGAAACGTAATTGATATGGAACAAATAAATAAAACATTTAGAAAGGCTAGAGATGCGAGATAGAGAAAAGTCATCCATTTTGTAGGGAAAAATAATTTTCCATATGGTTTTAAATTCTTGGGATATGAATATATAATCGCGGGAAAAAATGGTTTTTTTTTTTTCGAATAAATCTCCCGACAGTATCAAGCGAACAAATGGGTTTGAGATTAAGCGATTAAGCGATCGACTGCGTCTAGTGAAGGAGTCGCTTTGGGATTAGGCGATTAATTGAATGAGGTAGAAGGCAAAACGAAAAATACATCTCGTGGATACAACATTGTCCCTCTTAATTGTTTTTCTTATGTTCCGTCTCCTAATTAATAAAACATCACGATACTGCGTGCTTATACTCGTTGTAAGAAAGAAAAACAACAGACAAAGGGACCTAATTACCTGAAGCTCTAAAGAGGGATCTTGAATGGAGTGGGCGATTTTGTGGGCTCTTTGAAACGCTTCCAGGGCTTTACAGAATCCTGCTAACTCCAAGTGGACTCTGCCTACGGTTAAGTGAACTAATCCAGCAGTGGCGCACTGATCGCACTCGTTATACAAGCTGCGAGAATGCAAAATCATGAATATTAATGCACATGCACACATATACAACAGAGTGTCAATAAAAGTAGTCCATAAAATTATCGTCAACACAAAAGGACGTTACATTTCAGCCTAATCGATTCGAAATTGATACCTATTTTTATTTTTCTTCAAATGACAAATTTTTAGAAAATTGATACGATGATTGGACATATTCCGATTTGTATTTTTCTAATTTATTAATTAAATTACCGATATATTCATATATAGCAAAAAAAATATTAATCGCGCGTACGCGTGCATTCGATCTATAATATTCTTTCCGCTTTGAGGTTTTATATGACGTCATTTACATAAGCTGTGTAATGAATTAAGGAGGCTCTCAAACCTGTGCCGAGCGTAATCTAACGCTCTGTCCAGAGCGCCTAATCTCTCGTGTGCCCTGGCCAGGTTCAAATATGCTTCCGCCCGCATGTTCGGTGAATCCAGCTCCTCCGAGATGCATAATTGCTTGTTCCCGAATTCGATGCTGTCCCTGAAGGGAGAGAAATCGCGGCGATGCAAAAATCGCGGAATTATTATCGAAAAGAGGAATATTTTTTTAGAGAAATGTGTGTGAAGATGAAAAAACTGCATAAGCTAACATTTCATTTTGTTTTGATAAGATGTGGAAAACGATGGAATCACGTAAAATCACTTTGAATATACACATATATGTATGTATAACGAATATCTTAAATTATTCAGATATTTTTTGAAAAAATCTTGAAGATCTCTCTTGAATGATTTTAAAATTGTAAAAATCAATATTATTCGTACAATCTGGTAATATAATATAAAATGTTATATAAAAAATTCATATTTTTCTCTCAAATGTTAAATGGAATTTTTAAAATAGACATTTTTTTAAATATATGATTCTATTTGGTTTACGTTTAATCTACAAATTATAAAAATCTTTTAAAGTGTTGCAAAATTAGAAAATAAATTGCCTCATCAGTTTTAGATACGATGTAAAGAGTTCTTTGGAAGAAAGAATATAATGAAAAATATAAAAGAAGAGATAAATTTAGTAAAAAATAAGATCTTGTTTTTTCGCATAAAACAATATATATTTTTTCTCTTGACTTTATCCAGAATCTTGAACATTTCAGAGAAAATATTATTCACATATATGTATGTATATAAGGAATGATTATCTAGGTCATATTCCAGACTTTCAAAGTATTTAAAATTTTCAAGATTTCTTTGAAGAGTTTCTTCTTCCGAGCAATAATATACGAACCAATTCTCGAGTCCTTATACGATCAAATTTAATAAATTTAAACGAGAAAATTCGAACGCTTGTCACTATTCTTAAATATAGATATTAATCTTCAATTCATACACTTGTAATACACTTGTGTAATATTTCTTTAGCGAAGTTAAACAAGTACACATGACTTGACCCGTTTACCTCGTTCCGTCCTACTTTTCTCTAGATTACTTTTAATAACGCGCACAGGGTAACTCTCGACTTGTTTCACTTTAATTTAATACACACGCGAACAATTGCGACGAAGAAAAAGAAGCACAGTCTCTGGCACACGTATATTACAGCTAAATTATGTACAATCTACCTGTATTTGCCCCAATCCATGTACGCCTGGTACAGATATCCGAGGAGGGCGAATTTATCCTCGCGGTGTCTGATGCTCTTCAGGGCACCTCTCCACTTTCTAACCGCGGCCTGCTGTTTATGAGCCCGATACAATTTCAAACCCTGTTCCACCTGAGACACACGAAATAGCACGGATTCGATTCGCACTTAATACTGTGTCTAATTTATCGCGCGTGTATAATAAATTGTGTTTACGACGCGACGACTTGACGTAAGTCTTCCTTTAAATAAGTCTTTCTTTAATTATAATCTCGAATAAATTTTTAATCAATCACATTTATCGCTCTTCTTTAAAATGATTCGTGCTTGAAATGTGTCATCTCGTTATCTTCGCGAGTCCTTGAATTTCCGCCGATCGCACACGCCCTTGCATCCTGGACTATTTATTATTCAATATCCCACGGTTTTCTTCTCGTAATCAACCGTGGACTTTACGACACAATCAGCCTTGAAATTGAATTAATCTCAGGCTCTCTCGAGCGAAAATGCAATGTCCATAAGCGCGTGTGCGAGTCAAAGAGGAAATTGCGCGCTATTAATATAATATAACAATATTTTAATAGACGATAATTATAAAATGATAGTTATATATTGTATGTGTGTACATACATGTAAAGCTCGTTGTATGAAATTTTGCAAAATTTGAATATAATTTGGTTTTCATAGCTTTGTATTATTTTTTCAAGCTAAAATATTAATTTCGCATTTTCTTTCCACAAAGTCAGAGAGATATTACAAATTAAGCGGATTTTAAATGGATCACATAAATAAGTGATTCAATTCCACGAACTTTCTTTTTAAATCACTATTTGATTTAACGATCTAATATTAAATGACATTGCGTAATAATTCGTAAAATTGAAAAGCACTAACAATAAATTATTTTTTACGTAGCTGAGAGATGCAGCGTTTAAAACATGTATATGAATAATTTTGCATTTTTAATTCCATTTACTTAAAATTATTGCTTGTGTACCGAATAAATTTGTTTGTGCTGGATAAATGTTGTCGTAATGGTTTTATTATGTGTCTTGTGAAACGGGCCTTAAATGATAGATGATTCTACTAGGAAGAAGTTACATTACATGTTGTGGTCTTTGTTACGCAGCAATAAGCCTTAACGTAGATAATACGATGCAGAGGTAGAAGGTCGTATCGATTCGCCCATGAACTTTGTCCCTGTTGTGTATGTATGTGTGTATGTAGTAGATTAAATTCTATGATAAAATATAAATAGCCTCTTAAGGGACGTAAAAATGTACCCAGATGCGTGTAAGCGAGACAATTTTTACTTTTTTTAGAATTCTAATGAGACGAGAATATTTATGATGCACCGTCTGCTTATTATACATACTTATCATAATGAAGTTATTATCATAACAGAGTAAGATAATTTCCTGCGAGGGAAAGCATTAAAAAATATTGAGAGCAATGGTATTAATAATATTGTGTCAACGAAAACTTAACGTTGCATGCGAGATTGCGTGTGAATAAACCCCAGTCTTTATGCTCGTTAACATATAATACTATAGTCGAGAAAATAGGACTCAGCCTCGATTATTCCTTCACGTTAAGTCATATCTGTCCAATACAATTCATTATAATAGGAGCTAGCAATTTTTTCAATAATTGAAAAATAAATACGCCAATATTAATCTTTCTCGCAGTTATATACATATTTCGGAAAAAAATAAAAGAGAGAAAAGATGTAGAGTCTCTTCTACAAATCAACAATGCACAAGTTCTGTGTTCCTTTCAATCATCTCTCGTTAAAATCGAAACTCGGTTGAGTTGTCGTCGTTCGAGTCGGCGAAGACGGGAGCACAAATTACGTCTGTCATCGCTTAAAGAGAATGTCGTGGATATAAACTGTCGGATGTGTAACGCGAAGTCATAAGTTTCTCACCGGAAACGATAAACACCTAGTGCAGTAGGTTTTAGTGGTGGATAGCGTGACCAGAACTACCGCATGCACATCGTGAACTTGACAGTGACCGATAAAGCTTGTTCCTCGTCCGCGAAATATGCTTCGTTATGCAGCCAACCGTCATTCCTAACCGGTGGTTACTTTGAAAGGCCAAGTGAACCACCAAGATACTGTTGCTCTCGTTTGACACACTAATATACGACCCTCCGATTGCTTTGGGAACGTTAAACCGCGTTCGGCGCCCGCGAGGGAACGGTTTAAAGAATTGGTTGATTAAATTAATTTGTAGGACCATTAATATTACGTGGTAAGTGTTGTTGTGGCGCCCGGCCAATTTCGCTTCTAAGCGCGATGTTTGTCTAAAATTATGATCGCGATTTCGAGATAATACTTGGCACGCGCCTTTCCAAGTGAGAGCTTTATTAATAAATTAATACCTGAATAGAAGTGAGAAGCGTGCAGTAAAATATCTTTGAACGTAATAAGTTGCCGCGACATTATATCTGTCTCATCTCCAATATTTTATTTCATCGATCAACATCCTAATAAATTAAGAAATATGTTTTCTATTTTTCTCATGTTGTTACCCCCATTTGTAAATTGCTATAAATCAACATTAAGATTATTTAATACATATAATGAATATATAACTGTTTAGAATTGTTTATTGATAATAAGATTCTCAAGTACCGAACGATGATCTCTGTTAAATTGAAACCAACTGCTTTCGAAGATCCTCCTATGCCTCCCAAGAGGCTTAGGAAGAGCGGATATATGCATGTTGTGGGATACTTACCCTCCTTCGGGCTAATTGTTGATCGAGCCGTCTCCTGCAGCCTATGAGACATTCCCATATACCAGTGCCCGATCTGCCATTTTGGTAATGGCCATTACTACCATTGCCATTTTGGTGGCGGTAATCCTCTTCGGTAAACTCGCAGACGTCGAGTGGATGTCTCGATCCATCAGGGCTCCCCAGCAGCGCGGTCGCCGAGAGCTGATGACTCGCCGATCCGCTGCAAACATTCGATAATCCGCGCTATTCAATGTATATATTGGCATAATCTATATTAATCCTTTATTTGTGAGCTAAATCGCGCAATTATATTAGCCGCTCGACGCTTTAATCACTCGAGCCCGTTCATGTCTGATACCAGTGACGCATGACGAGAGGAATCAATTTCATGCAGCTTTCATATATTCCTTTAAAATTCGCTTAAAAGTGTATTAATTATTTTCATAAATTTTATGGAATGACTACGCATAGTGATATTTTATTTCGTTGAAAAATATCAATATATGAAATTATAATGCTCGTAATTTATACTCCGATATCAAATTTATTTCGACTGATACAATTTTTTTAATTTGCACGATTTTAATATAAGAAGCAGTCATTGTCTGCATATATATTATTATATATCGGACGATGATTATTATCGTTATCTATTTAAGGGTGCTTGATTCGAATATTCGTGGAATTTCATGCTCGCCGTGAAATCCGATGAGAGGAATTTAAAGAAGACGTAACCGAGCGCGATGCGATATTTTCACAACATTGATCGCTTAAGTTCTATAGAAATTCCAAAATTGTGCTCTCGCTTGAATGTGATTTATACCTGCGGTATGTATAAAGTGGAACAGTATAATCTCTTTTCGATATTCGCGCAAGAATACGATACAAGCTTATATAAAGTAAATTAGTGTGCTTTGTAAAATTACGTTACAAGTTCTAAATTAAAAAGAAACTTTAATATTATCTCGCGATAGAAAGAAAACTTGAAATGTATATATGTTTTCTTCAATATTTATATTTCTTGTAAAAGATACATATAATTATTCATTAACTTTTAATTTTATTAATTATTTTTATTTTATTTTATTTTCTTCATATTTATATTTCTTAGTTTCTTGTAAAAGATACATATAATTATTCATTAATTTTTAATTTTATTAATTATTTTTATTTTATTTTATTTTCTTTACATTTACTGTGTGTATATTCAAATTCCTTTTGCATCTCAGGCTAAAAGACGTTAATATCGAATAACGATGAATCTTTAAAGTAATATTGTCGAAAATTTCTCCAAGATTACCACCAACATCCTACGCAATCTGACGTTCTGCGAAATGACTAAATCATAGCTGTAGATAAAAACTCTCATCCTGTTCCCATTCTGGTCAATATCTTGAAAGCTCACAGCTCACGTCAAACGTCTATGTTAGATGATGGATGTGGGCAACTGACCTCTCGCAGGTTCCATGCGCAGGCTCTTAATTTATTTCTAGGACGAACGGAAGGAGAACCGCGCCGAGATAAACCGCTTTTGGCTGCCATCCCGGAGGTTTGAGTTTGCAAACTGCGCATTATAGAAGTTACTAGGTATATACAGGGTATCCTACACATCCACCTTTTTACCGCAGCAGTTTTCACTCACGTATATTTAAATCCATTTTTTCAGTCTCTTTAATCTCTTGGAAATTGTATGAACACGTTACACATTTCTCTCTCAAAGCGAGCTCCCTATTAACTATCTGATATATCCAAGCTTTGAAGTAATCTGGTTAAAGGTGCGTTTATAAGAAATTAAATATAACAATCAAGCTTTTATTACCCGTTTGCGTAGCCACGATTAAGTTTCTTTAATAAATCAACCTTGCACTGCTTATAAAAAAATTACAGATTTTTTCATTATTCCTTTATAAGAAAAAATTGATTACGTATTCAAAAGTTTCTCGCGGTAAGATGTAACGAGATATGTAAGTCTGGGTCACCCTGTGTATAGAATCACGAGTTCTTACCTATCTACTCTTGTCCTACCGCAATGCGACCGTTGCTCTATATCCGAGAAAACTGAAATCCACTTGTATTTCTTGCTTTTTTCCAATTCCGTTCGAGATACATCGCAAAACTCTCTACTACAGGAGACTGACTCGCCCTTTCATCAACTATGTCGGATCTCTTTTGTAAACTGGAATACCGAGCGAAATACATATATATATTTTTACATTGTTTCAGAAATATAGCACAATTGCGTTTCAACGAGAACATTTAATCAACATTCCTTCCGTTCATCAAGCTCGTTCTAAAGAGAGATGCCCTTTCCTATAAATAACCGCGTCTGTAAAAATACATTTTGCAACCAATAACTCGCTTGACAAAGTCAAATTAATATATTCAGCGAAGAATCTATCAAATAAAGCTCATACACTCTTTTCCTGCTGGCGAGATGAAGCGTTTACATCAAGGAAGAAAATTAATTGCTCCGACCAGCTTCGAGATGTTGGGATTGATTAAAGTAGACGATTGCGAGGGAAAAGTGCCTGACTATATTCTCTGGCTACCCTCGATGGAAGTCCCGTGGGGGCGAATCTCGCCTCCCGTCGCAAATTACACACTCCCTATCCTCGTTAAAGTTTTCCCCAAAACAGTCGCGTGCCTGTGCGCGCGCATATATGCGTGCGCGCTTGTCTCTCTCTCCCTCTTGTTCCATATGTATGTATACAAGTCCGCGTATCGTGTAGAGCGAAGAGTATACGACACTCTATCGCTTTCCCACCACGTTTGCTAGGTGGGCGAGGCACCTGCGACCTCTTTTCCTGACCCATTTACGAGCTACGAGATACGGTACGGCGTTGCGATTCTAAGTGGAAAATCGAACCATCCCTTGGCTCTTCCGCGCGTCGAGGTCGATCAACGAAATACGTGTACACGGCGTATCTGCTCTCGCAAACCTACCCCCTTATCGTACATCTTTCGCTTTCCTTAAGCATCCCCTCGCTTAATGTCGTAATAACGTCGATCCAAGAATTGGGTGAGAAAAAAAATGTGGAACGAATATAATTATATTTAATCTTGGGACATTTTTTTCTCGCAGAATTTATTCTTGGTATTTTATATATGTATATATATAATATAGAGGTATACTATCTGGAATATATCTAACTAAATCCCAGCTACTGGAGCAAATTACAATTCGGTGATGAAACTTTTGTTGGATAAAATGTGAGAATATTGTTACGAGAAGCATGGATTGCTTTTTACATTGCGTAACTATGTTACGAGCTGTACGGCAATTATCGTCCATCGTGACCTATCTATTCCGCGGTAGCTCGTAATTATAATATTATTATACTTCATTGTTACGATCATTATTGAAATGTAGAGCGGATCTACATTATTACCTTCTGATAAATGTATCAAAAAGCGCGGACTTTTTTTTGAGTAATTATCTAAATTATCATTGTAACGTAAATAATTGTCATATCATCATGTTCCATTTGAGTAATTTCTCGAAATATCAAATATGATTTTGGGAAAATAAACGAAAAAGTAGTTTTTAAATTATTCTCTTTTATATTTATTGAGTAGAGCGATTTGTTTTATTAGATCTTAATGCTATTAATTTGTTTGATCAAAAAATTCTCTTACACTTTTTTTCCCATTAATAAAGATATGCTATTAAATGTTAATAAATAGAAATATGTTACTTTTTGTTATTACATATTATTGCGTTTTAATTTTTTGTATAAAAAAATTACTTTAAACCCGGCAAAAGGGAACAGAAACACTCGACTTCAATGGATTATATAACTCTGAGAGGGCTTTTAGCATGCTCGTTTTTATTCTAAATGTATATATGTGCGGAAAGCCAACAATTTATTTTTTATTTCTTTCGAAAAAATGTGATACCTCTTTTAATATTTCAAGCAAATATACATTCAGTAGTTCTGAGCGTTTTATGTAAATACTCATTCTAAATACATATACAGTAATTTTTTCGATATACAATTATTGTTTATTTGGCATATACAATACCGCAATTAAATAACTAAATACAGTCAAAGTGAGAAAAGTTAACAAAATATTTAACGTCTGACATATATATTTTCATTATTTTCTCGCAATTATTACAAATAAATATTGAAATTGCAAATCCGGATATGCAAAAAAAAAAAAAAAAAAAAAAAAAAAACAGAATGTAATCTTATTACATCGAAAAAAATACGAGAATTATGAATGATTAATTTTCTGGAATTACACAGTGTATTATAAGCTTAGCCGTAAATGAATTTTTTAATTCCCCTTTGAAACACCCAACATTTATTCGCCGGCTTTGGGTGAAATGAATGATTATATACTTGTGATTGAAAATTCGCCATGGCGAACGACAGAACGGAAACTCACCCGAGGTAATCCCTGGACGAGATAGACTCCCATGACATGGCTGTGCGTCTTTCTTGGCGCGGTGCAGCTGTTTCTTCTCTCTTTCTCTCCCGGGCGGTCTAACATCTCATCTCTCGCCGCCAGCATTATCCCGTGCGCGCACCCGCGTGAGATGGAGCATATCACCACCTTGCTTCGCGACGGTCACAACGTGCGCCGACTTGACAGCCCGATCGTCCGCATCCGATATCGATCCCGAGGACCAAGACAGATACCTTTTCGATAGTGCGTGTTATATACGATTGTCTTTCGCGAACGACTATCTATATCGAACGACGATCAGCCGCTTGCATTATCCGATCATCGCTTAGGAATTTCAAGATCCTCCGGCGTTTTTTCACGAAAGAAAAATAAGGGAACGACGCGAAAATTGTACGAAGCTGCGATTTTAATATCCCGCGCGTAGAGTCAGGATGCGAGAGAAGTATATAGGGAGACTTCGAAAGGGGAGGATTCTTTTTAAGTTCTAGGACTTTCAGTTGGACGAGTGATTTTTTTTTTTTTTTTAAGGAATAAGTTATACGTGCTCGAAAGTGTACGGGACTCGATTTTGTTTGCCGATACAGTTGTTGAGGTAGATTTTAGGATCGTCTTTCGGGGGGAATTTCTTTTTACCCCCACGAATAGGGGGAATGATTTGGACAGACTCGATGCGCTTATTCACTAATGTGTTTTCAGAGGGATGACACACACACCTCGGTCGAAGAAAAAAATAATTCTGCAGGCCCGCGTGTCTTTGTACTTATTACGCCTAATTGAGCACCGTGGACTCGCGCGAGAATTCGCGCGCATTGACGTTTGAGAGAATCTTGTAAATTATTCTTTTTCCTCTCTTTCTCTATTTTTTTTTTTTTTTTTTTTTTTAATTAACGTAATTGGCAAATGTTTCGTGGCAGTTTCTTCGATCGTCCGATCGATCGATAAAGATTGGTTCGATTGGTTCCCTGGTTAACAGAGACGACCGCTCGAGTCTCACGGTACTTTATTTTCGTCTCTTTCACTCTCTATCTTGCACTCTCACTGCTTTGTAACCATAAATAACTTTTCCTCGTCTCTTTTTTTCTCTTTAGTTGTACAATTTTGAACAACTTTCTTCGCGAGTGTTGTTCCTCTAAAATCCTTATTTTATCTCTTTCTCTCTTTCTTTTTCTCTCTTTGTGTCTCGAATTATTCGATTATCGAGAATCGCGTAACGTGATATACTATGTAACGCTTCAACGTTGTGATTTAGACCTATGAAGGTTCAACACACATATATAATATATTATATATACATCTATGATGTATTTAAATAGATTTGCAACATGTATGTACATCTAATATAATAGAGATCCGCGTCTGTGTGTGCGTGTCTGTGTGTACCCGTATATGCGTGTGCGTACGCATCTTTTTCATTAATTATCGAACGCATTAATTATTTTTGCCTGTACTCTTAGCGACAACAATTCGGGCTGCCTCTCCGAATTATACAATACAATATATATATATATATATTTTTTTATTATTTATTCCGGCGTGTCGGACGGTGCTGGAACGCGATTTGTTTCAGCTTAAATCGCTCTTTGATCCTTTCCGCTGCTCCGAGATTAATATATATTTTGTTTTATATAGGGATGGAGGAGTTCACCGTGTACGATATTGTGTGTATATATATATATATATATATATATATATCACCCAATTATATCGATACCACCATTTAAGTATTAACGAATGTTTGCGCGAAGTCTCTGGAGAACGACTTCGACCTTCTTTTCTCCCTTGTGATCTCCTAAAGGGTTAAACTTCGACTTCGACGCGCGTGTTCGGCACCCGCAAAGGTTAAGGGACGCGCAGTCCCCGAAACTAGGATCGCGTCGACCCGCGGTGTCCCAGTTACCGTCCTGGTGACCCCTGGCGCGCTTTTTCTCCCCCTCTACAGGGTGGAGGGAAAGGGCGAATCCGCCCCTCTACCGAGAAACGGTGCCGAGGGCGCGAATTCGCGTTCCAAGCGAGACTCTCCACGCAGAATGTCTCCTCTTCCTCTGGCTCCAGCCAGATTATCTATATCTTGGAACAATTCATTAATTTCATCAGGGTTCGACAGTCTTTCCTCGTTCGCTTGCGCATAAATACTTTTTGTTGAAATATATATATATATATATTTGTCTATACAACACGCCTCGCGTGAATTTTCTCCCTTAAGAGAATTCCCTTTACACAATTGGAACAATTCATTAATTCCATCAGGGTTCGACAGTCTTTCCTCGTTCGCTTGCGCATAAATACTTATTGTTGAAATATATATATATATATTTGTCTATGCAACACGCCTCGCGTGAATTTTCTCCCTTAAGAGAATTCCCTTAAGAACCCTCTTGATCCGTGTTTTCGACACGAGACGCGCTTAAACCTTCCTCGGCTCCCGAAGACGACAACTGTCAGCGTTCGAACTCATCGCTTTCCTTCTCCCGTAAGTCGCGACAACCCTTCCGGCCCCGTCAGGGATGACACGGTAGCAGCAACGGTAGCAACAGCAGAGCAGCAGTCGTGCGCGCCTCGAGGCGTTTCCTCATGCCGTCGCCGATTGATCCCCTGGTCCGGTCGTTCCGAGCCGCGTTCCGGCCTTGTCCCCTTCTCTCGTCCTTCGGCGCCGTCCACCACCACCACCACCACCCCTGTTTAGCAGCAGCAGCAGCAGCAGCACCACTACCACCTCTTCGCGCGCGGAAACACGTTTTGGTCGCAACGAGGACAACCGGAGGCCGCGAGACGAGAAGGTTACGGGCGCGAGAACGAGAGAGAGAGAGAGAGAGAGAGAGAACGCGCGCCTTTTCCACCCTCCTCCCTCCACCCCCTGCTGCTACCCTCCCTTGTAGGGTTGGTCCTCTCGCGCCGAGGCTCCCGCGACAATCCACCGCCGGTGGCCGGAGCAGAACTGTCGCGCCCGAGCCGCAGCAGCCCGCAACACACGACCCGACCGATCCTCTCCGCCACCCCCATTTCCATCCCCCGTTTCCTCCACTCTATCTCCGCGCGTTCGCGTCCCTCCCTTTCTTTTCCCCCGCGTTCATCCCTTCTTTCGATTTTTCGCCAAAGTCTTTCTCTTTCTCCTCCCCTATTCAATCGCGATTTTTCTTCCCTCTGTGTGTATGGTAGGTCTCTCTGCCTTCATTTCTGCTTCATTTCTCGCGTTTGAGATTATGTCTTTGTATACAGGGTGTCTGGTAACCAACGATTGCAAATGGATTCTTTGGTCAATTTGGGAACGATTTTTCCTCGGCGAAAATGTGGAAAAAGGTCAAGGTCGGGAATAATTTTTGATATGTTCTAATAATGAAAATTATGTTTCGGTCTTCTATGAAAGGTTTACAAATGACAGGATTAAATATTTAATCGCGATTTTTTTTCCCTCTGTGTGTAGATTTCTCTGCCTTCATTTCTCGCGTTTGAGATCTGTCTTTGTATACAGGGTGTCTGGTAACCAACGATTGCAAATGGATTCTTTGGTCAATTTGGGAACGATTTTTCCTCGGCGAAAATGTGGAAAAAGGTCAAGGTCGGGAATAATTTTTGATATGTTCTAATAATGAAAATTATGTTTCGGTCTTCTATGAAAGGTTTACAAATGACAGGATTAAATATTTAATCGCGATTTTTTTCCCTCTGTGTGTAGATTTCTCTGCCTTCATTTCTCGCGTTTGAGATCTGTCTTTGTATACAGGGTGTCTGGTAACCAACGATTGCAAATGGATTCTTTGGTCAATTTGGGAACGATTTTTTCTCAGCGAAAATGTCGAAAAAGGTCATCATTTTTTACAACTTTCCAATATTTGTCATTATGTATCTTTATAACTAAGCCTCAAATTAAAATTTTATTATAGTAAACTCTACCTGAAATTAACTGAAGAATGTAATTATGTTAGACTTTTAACTCCAAAACGTTTAGTTTTCAAAAACCCATTTTTTTCAATCGCTTATAACTCGAAAATTATTGACTTCTCAACATTTTTGCTAAGGAAAAATCGTCTTCAAATTGGCCAGAGAATCCGCCCTTAATCATTGGTTCGTTAGTTACCGGACACCCTGTATATACCCCTTATTCTTTCCTGTCGGACAGAATATTTTCATCTTATACATCCAATCTCGGATCTGTGTTGATACACACTGAAAAAAATTCATGTACTTTTACATGGAAATTACTAGCTCAGAACTGGAAAAGTTACTTGCTTATCATTGTAATTTTTTTTTTCCATCTGTTTTAAAGTAAAAATACATATTAATGTAAAAATACATGTATAAAATATAAGTAAAATTACTATTTTTATGCAAAAATCATATGTAATTTAAATTTACCATTTTTACTTTATTAGAATTTTATTTTATAAGTATTTATCTATTTTATTTATGACATTATTTTATAGCATTTATACATTCCTAACATTTTCTATGTGTAATTACATGTTCAGTGAAATATTTTTAATCTTGAAAATATTTAAGAATATATTTCATATAAAATTACATATAATCTGTAATCTTCCATGTAAGTATCAATATTGCATGATTATGCTGGAAGTATTGAAAAATGGGAAATTCTCCAACACCGCAGTTCAAATTTTAATTTACAACTTATAACTAATTAAAACTTTCACGTGATGAAAAATCGAATATTTCTTGATCGGAAAAAAACCTAGCTTAATCGTAATTTTACATAAATATTTTTTTCAGTGCACGCTTTCTTGCCGCGCTGACGCGATTGGAAGCTGCGGGCAATAACTCTGGACCAGCGGGTCTAGGCAAACATTTCGAACATGGTAGTCTCTGTGTAGCGATAAAAATAAATTAAAATACGCTTTTCCCGATATGAACGCTTTTGTAGCCTTTGCTGCGGCAAATTGTAATCGTGAATTTTCACCGGTTGAATCTTTCGCGTTCCAGAAAATATTTAGCGACTCGCCCTCTGTGCAAATGAAATTTTTCTGTTTAAGCAGCTTTATTTGTCTGTCCCGAGGACGAGTAGAAATATTCGATTTTTCATCACGTGAAAGTTTTAATTAGTTATAAGTTGTAAATTAAAATTTGAACTGCGGTGTTGGAGAATTTCCCATTTTTCAATACTTTCTTACGACGATTACAATTGCGTGTTACAATTTAACAGATATCACATTCCAAACAATCCACAGAAATTTTTGTGTTAATTTAACGTAATATGGATATATAATAAAAGCAAAATACATGCAAAACTTTGAAGTAATTTAAAATAAATTTTGTGTAAAATTAACATACTTAATTTGAATGCAAAAATTAACTAAAAATATGTTAATTTTAGATTTTATCATCCCCACTCAACATATTTTTCCGTAAATTTTAACAAATGAATCTTGCCACTAATAAAGCAGAACACGTTTATTGTATAAAATTGAAAATAGATGCACGCTGTATTATTTTCACATCCCTTTTTAATTGTTTTAATAATTTCAAATGTAAGTTCAATTAACACAACAGCAATATGTTAAATTAATACATGAATACATTTGACACAAACATTTTAACAGGGACCGTTAAGTTTTAACAAGAATAAAACACATCCCTCTGTGTTCAGAATTTCCGCGAAAGGATAAAGAACCGAGATATCGCGACATAAAGGAAAATCGCGCAATATATCGCGCTAAGAGAATTTGTAATCTGCTGTTAACGACGTTTCGCCTCCGGAACGTCAACTTTTTGTCCCGCTGGAACGTCTTCCGCCTTACGCAAACCATTTTCGTGCGGGCACCGAGTCACGTACGGAGGGTGGCTCTTTCTCATCTCCCGAGGGACATGATATTCTCGATATCTAGGATTAAACGCGCGGATGTTGCTCTCCGGATGTGCTTCGGGGACTCGGTGAAAAGAGAGAGAGCGAGCGAGCGAGCGAGCGCGAGAGAGAGAGAGAGAGAGAGAGAGAGCGCTGTGACAGATACACCCCAACGAGACGCGTCAGCTGTTTCGTCTCCTTGTCAAACGACACGAGCGGCGTTTTCTCAGAGTTTTACTGCTCGGCGGTTGTAAAGCCTAATGGATCTTGCCGCGGGCACGTTTAGCGACACACGTTATCGTTACATCGAGATGTCGGCGTTTAAGTACAAGCGACAATAAAAGTCGCTTCTTTCCGGAAAAGTGGCGCGGTCTCATCCCCGACGAATGCAAACGAGAAGAGGACAGATTGCCCTGGTCTCGGATAGCTCGTCGGAGAAAGCGATTTTCTCGTTGCACATAAATTATTATGCATAACGTGTTATTCTGCGTAAAGGGCTTCCGATACAGAGACCTATATCACTGTGAAACTATGCGTGACGCCAGGGAAATTGGCGGGAAAAAAATATACGCGAGTTATATTATTATTCTACGCCAGCCTGTATTCGGCACAAAAGATGAAGCTTTTTGCGAAAAATTTCGTATTGATTTGATAAGACTTTTAATATATATATATAGATCCCCTATATATATATATAGGGGATATATATATATATATATATAGGGGAGAAACTTGCAAAAGAAGAATCGGAGAGTGTAACAGTTCGATATATTACGCAAGAAGAGAAATATATAAGTAACGGCAGCACATTACTCACTTCGTAATAAATCCGATACAGAGCGCGATGTATATATTGTGAAGTACGTCGTATAATAGATTGAATATTGCCGAGATGATATATTGTTGAATGGTTGAATACTTTAAATGATAATTATATGTATGTACATAAGAATGAGATTTAAATTGAAATCAGCTGATTTTGATCAATTAAAATTCAAAGAGATTGAAAAATACGATCAGGTATAGAGATATGTACAAGAATTTTAGAAATCAATTTAAAAAATAAATTAAAATTTTTATTTATGCAGTTATTTAACAAAAAATAAATAAATAAAAATACTATACGAAATAATCATTTCAGGCACAGATTAACGTGGGAAATATGCATAGCTTGCGTATTATAAAATAAAGATTTTTTTCAGATAGGAAGGGAGCTAATAGAATTTCTTTCTAAGGCGAAAATAGAGCTATAAGAGATTTTATTAAGAGGGGAGAAATGTAGAGAGAAGAGATAAAACCTAAGAGTTAAAACTAGTGGATTTAACATGTTCATTTTAAAAGTGACTAGTGGTCTAAATATATGCAACACTCGACGCGTATGCGTGATAGATTAAGCTTGTTTAGTAGAAGAAGACAGAGAGGGAGAGTCAGGAGAAGATTATCCAGGCGTTAATGACGCGTGGAGATCTGAACCCTAATTAACGGAACTTTAAGCGAGCATCGGAGAGTAATCTCGCGTTATCACACGATACGCTATATGATATTCTAATTTATGAACGAATTTTACGCGAATATAGGAATTAGCCTTGTTCAGAGCACGAACGAGAAATCTTTCGAGTCATAAATTTAAAAAACTTTTTTTATTTTTGTTGTGTAAAAATTAATAATATATTCTAATTTACGAACGAATTTTACGCGAATATCGGAATTAGCCTTGTTCAGAACACGAACGAGAAATCTTTCGAGTCATAAATTTAAAAAACTTTTTTTATTTTTGTTGTGTAAAAATTAATAATATATTCTAATTTACGAATGAATTTTACGCGAATATAGGAATTAGCTTTGTTCAGAACACGAACAAGAAATCTTTCGAGTCATAAATTTAAAAAACTTTTTTTATTTTTGTTGTGTAACAATTAATAATATATTCTAATTTACGAACGAATTTTACGCGAATATAGGAATTAGCCTTGTTCAGAACACGAACGAGAAATCTTTCGAGTCATAAATTTAAAAAACTTTTTTTATTTTTTGTTGTGTAAAAATTAATAATATATTCTAATTTACGAATGAATTTTATGCGAATATAGGAATTAGCTTTGTTCAGAACACGAACGAGAAATCTTTCGAGTCATAAATTTAAAAAACTTT